AACCAAGTGGCGGAAAGATCGAGCAGCTAACCTGTCGACCAGTCAAGTAGTTGACCAACCCATCACTCGACCAGATGAGTGATCGAGCAACCCATTCGACCTCAACAGGTCGATCATCTTCGAAGACTTAACATTACACTTATCGGCCTGGACATAGGCGCGTGAGAGAGCCTCTAATCGAATTTTAGGAGAATATTATCCCATGTGCAAGGGGACACGTGTCGAGAATGCAGTGGTTGATAACAATAACCACCTCTGACAGCCTACCCCATGTGTAGGAGGACATGCGTCCAAAGCGTATTGGTGCAGACGACAGTGGCGACGGCTACCTCTGACACACACGTATTGTGTGTATGGACGGGCAGCTAGGGCAGACAGCTCATTAAATCCGGGCAGCCCTAGGTCAGGTATCTCACCCCTATATAAAGGGGGTGAGCCTTTCTTCTTGAACACGATTTTCTTTATTATTCACTTCAGTATACTCAAACACATACTGACTTAGGCATCGGAGGCTCTTCACCGGAGACAACCCCCGGTGTGAGAGTTGTTTGCAGGTTTCCGGCATTCTACCGGTGAGGACAAGAATCGATCTACCCCCAAACCAGACCAGGACGTTCACGCCTGCATTAAGCATGAAAGCTCAAGATTTTAATGATTGTGTAGCCAATGCACATCCAATGACTATGGTTCTTTAAAGATGGTGAAGTTTTACAAAATACACTAATCTCTATTGAGTCACAGAGCCAAATAGTGAGAGAGAAGTTGACTTAAATGGAAATTTTGTTAAAAGGAAGACAAAGTTGGTATATGATCTCAGGTGTGATCATAATTCACTTGAATTTTAGCTTGGCAAGTTTTTCTATAAACTATTTAAATAAAAAAAAAATTAAATAGTTAAGTAATTTATTAAATTATAAATAATTGACTAGTTTGTTTAAGTCCAAGTTAATATTGGCTCGTAAATTACGAATAAATATTCTTTTGATTTTTAATTTTAAATATTTTTTTTTATCTATATATTATATACCAAATTTAAACCACGCAAGTAATAAATATAATAGCATCAAGTTTTGTCATAATATTATATACTAAATTTAAATCATGCAACTAATAAGGGTAGTACGCAATATTTTACCAAAATATTTATGTACATTAATTACATTTAATTTAGGCGAGATTTTTCAAATTTTGGCCAAAAAAATTTACCCGATTTAGTAAATCTAGATTTTTAGGCGGGAAACCAAGTATTTTTTTACTGATTTTAGTTACTATTTCAAGTAAATATCATTGCATCTTTATATATTAACTAGTGCGTATCCCGTGCGATGGACGGGTAAACAATATTAAATAATAATTATAAATGAGTATCGAGTTCGAGTTACCAATAAAAGAAGTGGAGAACCAATATTGATCTTCTCTTAAAAGAGCAAGAAAGATATTGTAAATTAAAGATGAGGGTAAACAATATTAAATAATAATTATAAATTAACGATGTGGGGTTAACATGTCATATAATTTACTGTATCTCAATTTATTATTAACGATATAAAATTAGCTTGTTCAAGAGAACATAAAATTTGTATGTTTAAACAATTAAAAACTCTTAAAATATTATATTAACATATGTAAAATTATCTAAACTTTTCTATATTATTATTAAAAGATGTGAAGTCGCCTAAAACTTTTTTAATTTTTTTCGTAAAGAAAATATATCTAAAAATATTAAAGTTTACATTTGTATGAAAGATGTTTTCTAAATATGACATGATAAAATATTATATAAAAGTATATAAAATATTATAAGCCTAAATAAGTACATTATAAAGTTTTGAAAGAAAATTTACCTAGTACATATAAAATAAATATTGTCATGATGCTGAAAATTATGACGACACTACCGCAACTGAAAATTTGAGTATAGAAGATTTTAAAATTATTATTATTATTCTTTTGAGTAATTTGAGTACAAAAGATTTCAAAATTATTATTATTCTTCTTTTAAGTAATTTGAATACAAAAGATTTTAAAATTATTATTATTTTTTAGTTACTGTAAATATTTTTATTATTATTCTTTTGAGTAATTTGAGTACAGAAGATTTCAAAATCATTATTATTTTTTATTTACGGTAAAAAGAAATTTTGTACGCATAAAATTCCACGCCTTATGCAGATTTATCAATTTTACAAATAAAATGGGATTTATTTCATATTGAATATGGAGACTAAGACAATTTTGAAGAAAAAAAAAAACTGTCTATTTTCAAAATTATCCTCTTGATTTTTGAAACAATACATTTGTAATTTGAATTAATTATTGTAAAATTTTGAAACTTATGGCAAAAAATTAAAGAGATGAATTTCGATTAATTTGCAATTTTTAAACCATTTTGAATTTCATGCAAATTGAAACCTAAGAAAAATGAAATTATAAAGTTTTAAGGTAATTTTTTCGGCAATCTGATTGTTTGGAATAAAAAACACAATTGAATTTTTTAAATCAAATATAAGAAAGGATTTTGAATTTAAAATTATATTCAATAATCGAAATTTTTAGAATTTAATGGAACCAAATCCACCAATTTATCTTTTAGAGGTTTAAATGAACGGTAATTTACCAAATCCACCAAATAAATGAATCGTAATTTTTTTTAACAAAAAAAATAAAAGCATCTGATTAAAACAATTGTAGTAGCCGAGTTGATGTTAAAAGAATTTCTGATTTTTGTAAATACTAAAGTAAGTTTATATTATTAAATTAGGCGTAATTTATTTATTTTTTTATAAAATTAAATTTGCAATGTGGTACATGATTATATGTTAAAGAAAATTTTATTTTTTTAATTTGTGAAAATGAAAAAGGAACAACCTAATCTTGCGCAAAAATAAATAACAAACTCCACTTAACAAACTCCACATTAAATGCAATAATTAATGATGCACGTTTGTAAATAAAAAATAAAATAAGAATTTGCTATTAATAGCATGCAATTAATGATCAACCATATTTGATCACGGTTTAACTTGCCATTTTTAAAAATGGTAATTCTTTTTATATTTGGCAAAATTACGGCTAATATCATGACCTTTAGCGAGATTGCAAATTAATCACAACCTTTTAACTTTTGCATAATATATCACGACCTTCAATTCTTTGCAAAACATGCGCTGCCCCAACTCGTCTGACGTGGCACTTAAAATGCCAACGCACCTGCTGATGTGTATTTAACAGACGATTTTTTTTGCATAATTAATCACGACCTTTTAACTTTTGCATAATATATCACGCCCTTAAATATTTTTGCAAAACGATACATGATTTTAAGAGATGATTTTTTTTTCATCTCATTCCTAGACGAGATGAGGGGGAGATTTTGGAACCCTTGGGGATATATTAGGCTTGGGCTGGAGAGAAAACATATTATTGAGACTTTTATCTTTTTTTTTTCATCTCAAAACTCATTCTCTCAACAACTTTCACTTGGTTTTCTTTGAATTTTGCTTGGATTCGAGTTTTGGAGATTGTGGCACTCCATAACGAACACGATTTGGTTTGTAATTCGATTTTATTCTCGACTTGGATTAATAATAATTTTCTTTCATTTGATTATGGAAGTGATTTATTATGTTGAATCTTTTGTTGGGATTGATATCAATATGTGTGGCTAAATCGCTTCGTTAGGGATAGAGGATGTTTGTTTTAGTTCGATTGAGATTCGTGTGTACGTGTTTGTCATTCAATCTATTCGAGTTGTGTTGAATCTACGGTTAGATGTTTGATCATCATTTTAATCTAGTTAATCAATTTGTAGAACCGAAAGGGAAAAAATTGATTGATCTCGGCTCGTTTAGAATAGGCTTGTTTGTTAATAGATTGTCTATATGTTAATTGTTTGATAATTGATCGTTACGAAGAGTTATTGAGAACAAGCCTCTAAACGAGTATGTTATTTGATCTCTTAACCGAGCGGTTGCGTGGTAATTGATTGTTTGAGAACCATAAATGAATATCTCCGACTCCCTAACTCACCAATCATTATTTGAACTCTATTTGGAATTTGAAGTGTGTCTTGCTTTATTTTTAGAATTTGTAGTTGATAACCAAAACAAAAAACAATTGAATTAGAGTGTTTCAGATTTGTTTTCTCTTTTCGTGTGATTGAATACACGTGCAAAGTAATTCGACTAACATTCCTTGAGAGACGACCCGATGTTTGAATCTTTTCGTGTTCCAAAATCTCCAGCTCTAGCCTAGTATATCCCCAAGGGTTCCAAAATTTCCCCCTCATCTCGTCCAGGGATGAGATGGAAATAGAAAATCATCTGTTAAATACACGTCATACTAGTTGGGGCAACAGATGGAAACGTGTATCGTTTTGCAAAAATAATTAAGGGCGTGATATATTATGCAAAAGTTAAAATGTTGTGATTAATTATGCAAAAAAATCGTCTGTTAAATACACATCAGCAGGTGCGTTGGCATTTTGAGTGCCACGTCAGACGAGTTGGGGCAGCGCATGTATCGTTTTGCAAAGAATTGAAGGTCGTGATATATTATGCAAAAGTTAAAAAGTTGTGATTAATTTGCAATCTCGATAAAGGTCATGATATTAGCCGCAATTTTGTCTTTATATAAATATAGATGTATAATTAATTGTTCAACTATTTTCCTCCAATTATAAATGGCGGGAGCATTTCCGAAATTCATTTTTTTACTCAACTCCAATCTCATTCTCTCTCGTGAGTTTTACTAATTTAACTTGGAGCCCCTCTAAACCCTCTAATTCACAAAAGCCATCTCAAATACTCCCAAAACTCCACTGCCACTCTGCCAGACAGTGTGTCACAAAGATTTTTCATTATTCGATTTCGACCTCGTTGGTGACCGATTTCTCTCCCTCACTCTTGATTGATACGTTTTCCATTTTTCGCGATTTTCTTTAGGCTTTAATGGGGAATTAGGATTTGGTTTGGGACGAGTGTTACTAGCTTTCGGAGTTCATGGAGGCCGCGCCTGGTGTCCCGACTGGCGCGCTGAATGGCGGTTTTCCGGTGCCGCCTATGTCGTCGTCTTCTTCTCAGACCTCTCGCAAGGAGTGGCACGTCGTCTCTGAGCAATCGATGCGTAACTCTGGCGACGAGGTTGACATAGCTACTTGCATTTATCTCTTCTTACCTCTTGATAATTTTTGCTGTTATTATTTGTAAATGTGTTTTAAAATGATTCTTATTGAGTCTGCGGGTAGCCGAGTACTACTTGTACTGGCCTTTTCTCGATTTCTGTCTCTCTCACTTGCTCGTAATGCAACCTCTATTGTGAATCTTATTAGGGTTTTTTTTTTCGTAAATCTTGTGTCATTTATTTATTTATTTTTTGCATCTGCAGGGGTTGGATCGTTCGAAGCTGGTCCAGTCTGATGAGAGATTAATATATGAGGTATAGTGTTAATCATTTTGTAAATTATTGTTACATGTTTCTCTGTCTCCTTCCAGTGCCACTATCATGCAAGTCCCAATGATGGTGAGTTGCTATGTGTAATTTAAGGTACATCGTGGGAGGGAGCCAGTAGATGTGGATTTTTGCTCGATAACAATTGATGGATGTTTGGACAATGATATTATGCAGCAGAGGCTTGGTGCCTTAGCAAAACAAAGGGAGGAGCTGCAGCAGGTGGAGATTGAGCTCCGTGCACAGGTCATTGTGAGATCAGAAATCGTGGGCATGCAGAATACATTTGACACTCAGATTAAAGAACATACAGATGCCAATGCCAAACTTCAGGTTTTACTCATTATTTGGGTGGAACACTGTTGTTTTGTTAAGCTTTTTAGTACATGCATTAGATTCAGGGATTTTATTAGGCATGATTTTTTTTGTTGCTAAATTTTATGGTCTGATGTTTAGGTGCATCTGCGTGAAAAAGAACAGACGATACATGAGTTGGGGAGAAAGATGGAAGAAAAAGAAAGAGAACTGCATGCTATTAGATTAGATAATGAAGCGGTTAGCTTGATGATTTCGATGCTCTCTTATGTTTTCCTTACTCTTCAGGCATGTTTTTATCAATAGTTTGTAACAACTGTTTTCTTGAATTAAACCTATTCATTTGTTTTAGCAGGCTTGGGCCAAGGATGATCTTTTGAGGGAACAAAGCCAAGAGCTCCAGAGCTACAGGTACCTTTTGGAGTTTCAATTGGTATTTCGTATTTGGTACTTGAAATTGATGTTTTGTTTAAGTGATGAATGTGTGCTTTGTTTGCTCTATTTTTTTTTTTCGATGGATTGATTGTTGTATGTCCATTGCATATGGAGCTGGAATAGTCATTGTTGACAATTCTCCTGGCATAGTGCTAATAATGGACTAGATCAAAATGGCTCAATTGAATTCTAGTGCTTCTTCTAATAAGTTTCTAGAAAAAAAATATATCAAACGACGCAACGCACCTTGGGTCGTTATGGAAACAGCCTCCTTGTATAATTACAAGGGTAAGGGCTGCGTACAACTGACCCCCCAGACCCCAACCTGTTGGGAATATACTGGGTATGTTGATGTGATGTTGATGATGTTGATGGATTGATTGTTGGAATCAAAGCATATATACTTATATATTTTAATTTGTTGTATCGCTGTATTTTGTGTTGGCCAATGCGGTAGGTCTCTTTTCTCTGCTGATGATTTGATATATCGATAGTAAATTCTATTCTGCGTGTTTTGAAAAATTTTTGGTTACACACACTTTATCTTGCAGGAGGGAGAGGGATAACTCTGAAGCTGAAAGGCTGCAACATATTAAGCAAATCCATGATCTTCAAGAACATATTCAAGAGAAGGATCGCCTATTCCTGGAGTTGCAAGATCAGGTCTGTTGGCACCAACATGCTGATGCATATACATTTATATTATATATTTTCTTATGCAATCGTTATTCATTAGAAGCACCTTGATTCAAGTATCTTAGACAGTTGTAATCTACAATATTTTGCACAAGTTGAAGAAGCTGTTATATTCTCGGAATCCATCTTAGCTAGTCTGCTTACATTTTCTTATGTTAATGCATGATGATTCTGCTTTAACGCTTTTGAGGCAATGCTATTCTTCAATGATGTTTTTTTGGAAGTAAAACGGTTGCTATGCTCTGTACTGCATGTCTTAAATTTTGCTGCAATATTATATATATAAATTAGAAGCACTGATAGTTTTTCTTTTCATTCAGCATAGGATTGCTCAAGAAACCATCATTTTTAAGGATGAGCAGTTGCGAGAGGCACAAGCATGGATAACTCGTGCCCAGGAAATGGATGCTTTGCAATCAACTACCAACCACACTTTACAAGCTGAACTGAGAGAACGCACAGAACACTACAATCAGCTTTGGCTAGGTTGCCAAACACAGGTGATTAAGCTATAGTGATTGATATTTGATTCAATGCGACATCTGATTGTGCCTTTTATTTCAGTATATGCTAACTTAATAGTATTGTTTCTATCAGTTTGATCCAGTGCGACATCTGATTGTGCCTTTTATTTCAGTATATGCTAACTTAATAGTATTGTTTCTATCAGTTTGCTGAGATGGAAAGACTACATTTGCTTATACAACAGTTACATCTTGAATTGGCTGATGTCAAAGTAAAGGGTGGGAGTAACTTGGATAGTTCAAATACCTCGTGGACGAACGCGAAAAGTCCTTCTGAACTAGAAAAGATCAATGACAGCCAGCTTGAGATAAATGATAATACTACACAGATTGCGGATTCTAATGGCCTACAAAGTGGAAATTCTGAAAGTGGTTCTGGATTAAACATCTCAACACAGGTAAAATATTCCTCACTTGTTGGTTGCTTCTGTTGCTTGCCTTTGAAGATTGTTGACCTCATAATTATTATTATTTTTTTTTTCCTTTTAACTTTTATACCTGTGATTTCCCTAATGATTTTTTTTTTAATTTTTTTTTTATGCAATCATTTCTCTGCACTTCATTCACACAGAACGATTTCCTCACAAATTCCTGGTTCTAGTCTTTCCTTTTTAATTTATAACAACTCTACCTCTTCCTAGAAGCCACTTCAAGAATCGTTTTCCAATGTTGGGACTATAGTCCAGAATCCATAAGATGAACTATAAATTAGGCTGTATTCCTTTTCTTGTTTATTAGGGCGACCACAGTCATGTTACATTTGCTCCTTCATCCCTACTCGGTATGCCAACCTACATTCCAACTGGACAGATGGCTGCTTTACATCCCTTTGTGATGCACCAGCAAGGTCTACCACTCCCATCACATGTGCTGCAAGCTCATCTTCATGCTGTATCTGCAATGCCACCCACACACAACTGGCAGGACCAACAACAGGTTAATGACATGTCCACCATTTTTTTTTTCCTATTTGATGATTCTTAAAAGTTGCAAAACTTTCTTAACATGGACGCTTTTCTTTGCTTTACCACCAAGCCTCAGCCAAATGACCAAAATGAGCCCACCCATAACCAGTATCATCAGGAAGTTGAAGAAAAACTATCCAGAACAGACTCCCTGTACAATTGTGAACCTTCAATGAATGACCAATTAATTTGTGCGGACTTTCCAGATGCGAAAATCAGCCAAGGTTTAGATGCTGATTCTGTGAGTCCATTAGCAAATGGAGAGGGACAGGTTAGTAGCCAAAAAATATGAGTTCAGATTAAGGATAAATTCCAACTTAACTTTTGCACGGATTGATTCCATATCCTTCTTTTTGTCACTTTGCTGACATCATATAGGTTCTTGATACGGTTGATACAACCTACAACAATTCCAAGTCCCCACAGAGGCTGCACCTGATATCTTCCCAGTTTCGCGATGCCCTTAGCCTGAATCCCATTGAACGTGGAAAAGGAGCTGAGGTTTGATTACTCTCATCCCTGCATTGACCTGGCATAATTTTTATTTATTCATTTATGTATGTGTGTCTTTGCTGTAGTTTATATTCTGGGTGTGATTAGAGTTCATTTTATTCTAATGCTATCTCAGGAGAAGACAGTCAAATCAGGGTCTGACCAGGAAATCAAACATCAGAATATGATGTCTGAACATTCAAATCTTGCCATTAGTGCTTCCACTTTTGAAGCAGTGGCTAATGCTGAAACTTTAAGTGAAGCAACCACAGATGCTGCCTCGAGTGTAGATTTGGCAGATTCAACTGTTGCTGCTGGGCAGAAAAATAACATCGTAGGAAAGCCTGAGGACAGTTATCTGATTGACGAAAGAGCATTGCTGGCTTCCATAGCCCGTGCAATAGGATCTGGTGGAAGAATTAGGATCAGCACTACGGTGAGCAAACTAATTTTATTGTCTATATGTTTAGGAAGTATGTATTTGACTGTTTTATAACGTAACTTATGCCTTTTCCAATGCATGTGGACAGCTTCCTAATCGACTTGCCAAAATGCTTGCCCCGCTTCACTGGCATGATTACAAAAAGAAATATGGGAAGCTTGATGAATTTGTGGCCAGTCATCCAGAGGTATGGCATCCTTTTTTTTCTTTTTTCTTTTTTTTTTTCTTGTGACTTGTCCTTTTCAGA